CACACGCGGGAAGGACGGCAGAGACACGCGAAGCTGTATTTTTATCACTTCCACAGCATTTTGCGAGACAAAGTGCGCGTTTGCCGTCAATGCGCACGAAGGATGTTTTGATTCCGACGTGAAAATCGACGTAAATATGACAAGATTAAAAACGCGGCCGTGTTAACGTGTGGCCCCGTTTAAGGGATCCTCTCTGGGGGTTCCATTGGTCCCCTTATTCACAAGGACCCCCAAGTAGCGGTCAGGTATCTAGAGTCCCAGTCGTCGTAGGTGATGGGTGAAAATATTCTTCCGTGGCAGCCGAAATATTTCTTGTGATATGTGCAGTAAATTATAAAAAAAAAATGTACGTGCATGTTGAACTTCTTTCACACCGTATGTAGCCAACCTCGCTCATCGCAGATGCGGGGGAAAAAAAATCCGTTTTAAATCAATTAGTTTGCAATCCAGATGATTTCAAAGTGCATGGCTCCCAGGAAGAGCATTCCAGACGGCCGCAGAAGCGGCGCACCCGAAGGCGCGCGACGCGCCGACCATCTTTGTTCGATGGCCGAGCCAAAAGCCGCTTGCGGGGACGACCGGAGTTTGCGCGACGAGATAATAATAATAACGTGCGTTGAGAAAGTGAACGGGCACAAGGCGGGGCCATGGAGCGCGAGGTTTGCCACGAGCGAGGGACGTGGCGAAACCGACGGCACCCAAGGGCAGGCCGCTCTGCCGGTTTGCCCGAGCCCGCGGACGCACTCTGCTCAAGGTGGCCTTGGCGTCTCGCGTCTTTTGGACGGCCGCCCGGATTAAATTGCGCCGGATCGTTGACCGCGTCGGTCTGCCACGTTGCTCCTCTCGTGTCGTCAAGTGTCAGGTCGAGGTTACTTTGCTTAAGCAGTTGCTTAAATAAATAAATATGCCATTTTCAAAATATATTTATGCAAACCGACACACCTGATGATGACCGTTTGAGTTATGGTCGAAACGTCGTGAGAATTTTTTTATTGTTTTATATATATTTTGTTATTTTGTTGTTTCTCTTCAACGTGACTTTACCGAAAAAACTAAGAATATGAATTACTGCAGTCACGAAAGCTTTAAATCAAAATTCAGTTGCGAGAAGTTTGAGAGAGAGAGAGAGAGAGTGCCCTGGATCACCGAAATGACGAAATCAAAAACGAATAAAAAAAACTAGGAACTTTTTATTTTATCAGGTAAGTGCCACTGAGCTATGTAGCTATTTTTTCGTGAGCAACCATGCCGTAAATGAGAGCTCAAAGGAGGGGAAAACTGGAAAAAAATTCACGCGACCACGGGACGAGAGACACGCAAACTCCAAATACACAACTGGCTGACAGGGTCGAACCCACGACCACCTGCATACCAGGCGAGATCGTTAACATCTCCCGGCCACCGTGGCATCCCTTGTGATTGGCGCGCGGAAGATTTGTTTTCCTCAGAACGTTCAATCGAACCATCGGCGGGAGAGGGTGCCCGAACTGCAATTTAAAGGGGCAGCCCCGCAATTTTCCTGCTCACGCCACTGTTGGACAGAGAGCTCTGGAGAGGCCCTCTCTAAAGGGTCGTTTTTGGTCCTGCTCTTCCATGCCAGGCCGAGGCCTATTGGAGGGGAAGGAAGCGACCGCGGCTTTCCCCGCCCGCGTGATAAGCGTACCGAATCGGTTAACTGCAGTCAAATCGGACGCGCCACCTCCGCATCGCAAGCCGGACGCGCCTTCACCGTTACACACCGCAGCAGCAGCAGCAGCAGCAGAAACAGCATCGAGGTTGCGCTCGATTTGCACAGATTGTATATTTACATTCTTTCGTGCACCGTTCGACACGGATGAACATCGACGAATCCGTCGCATGGCAATTTCCCGTCGTGGAGTTGTAATTCCTCGTTTTGTAATTCGTTTTGTCATTCCTCGTTTTGTAATTCTTCGTTTTGTCATTCTTCGTTTTGTAATTCTTCGTTTTTTCGCGCCTCGGGCGCTCAGCCGACGACTGTCCAGGAAGGGAAGTGGCCGATGGCGAGTTGTGATGTCATGGCGAGGTGTGATGTCATGGCGAGGCGTGATGTCATTGCGAGTTGCGATGTCATGGCGAGGTGTGATGTCATAGCGAGGTGTGATGTCATAGCGAGGTGCGATGTCATAGCGAGGTGTGATGTCACGGCGAGGTGTGATGTCATGGCGAGGCGTGATGTCATTGTGAGGTGTAATATCATGGCGAGGTGTGATGTCATGGCGAGGTGCGATGTCATGGCGAGGCGTGATGTCATTGCGAGGTGCGATGTCATGGCGAGGTGTGATGTCATAGCGAGGTGTGATGTCATTGCGAGGTGCGATGTCATGGCGAGGTGTGATGTCATAGCGAGGTGTGATGTCATAGCGAGGTGCGATGTCATAGCGAGGTGTGATGTCACGGCGAGGTGTGATGTCATGGCGAGGCGTGATGTCATTGTGAGGTGTAATGTCATGGCGAGGTGTGATGTCATGGCGAGGTGTGATGTTATGGCGAGGTGTGATGTCATGGCGAGGCGCGATGTCATAGCGAGGTGTGATGTCATGGCGAGGTGCGATGTCATAGCGAGGTGTGATGTTATGGCGAGGTGTGATGTCATAGTGAGGTGTGATGTCATAGCAAGTTGTGATGTCATGGAGAGATGCGAAGTCATGGCGAGGTGTGATGTCATGGCGAGGCGCAATGTCATGGCGAGTTGTGATGTCATAGCAAGTTGTGATGTCATGGAGAGTTGCGATGTCGTGGCGAGATGTGATGTCATAGCGAGGTGTGATGTCATTGCGAGGTGCGATGTCATGGTGAGGTGCGATGTCATGGCGAGTTGTGATGTCATGGCGAGTTGCGATGTCATAGCGAGGTGTGATGTCATGGTAGGGTGCGATGTCATAGCAAGTTGTGATGTCATGGTGAGGTGCGATGTCATAGCGAGGTGCGATGTCATAGCGAAGTGTGATGTCATAGTGAGGTGTGATGTCATGGCAAGTTGTGATGTCATGGCGAGTTGTGATGTCATGGCGAGTTGCGATGTCATAGCGAGGTGTGATGTCATGAGGTGCAATGTCATGGCAAGTTGTGATGTCATAGCGAGATGTGATGTCGTAGCGAGGTGTGATGTCATGGCAAGGCGTGATGTCATGGCGAGGTGTGATGTCATAGCGAGGTGCGATGTCATAGCGACGTGCGATGTCATGGCGAGGTGCGATGTCATAGCGAGGTGTGATGTCATGGTGAGGTGCGATGTCATAGCGAGGTGTGATGTCATGGTGAGGTGTGATGTCATGGTGAGGTGCAATGTCATAGCAAATTGTGATGTCATAGCGAGATGTGATGTCATAGCGAGGTGTGATGTCATGGTGAGGTGCGATGTCATAGCGAGGTGTGATGTCATAGCGAGGTGCGATGTCATGGCGAGGCGCGATGTCATAGCGAGGTGTGATGTCACGGCGAGGTGTGATGTCATAGCGAGGTGTGATGTCACGGCGAGGTGTGATGTCATGGCAAGGCGTGATGTCATGGCATGGCGTGATGTCATAGCGAGGCGCGATGTCATAGCGAAGTGCGATGTCATAGCGAGGTGTGATGTCATGGCAAGGCGTGATGTCATAGTGAGGCGCGATGTCATAGCGAGGCACGATGTCATGGCGAGTTGTGATGTCATAGCAAGTTGTGATGTCATGGAGAGTTGCGATGTCATGGCGAGGTGTGAATTCACGGCGAGGTGTGATGTCATGGCAAGGCGTGATGTCATAGCGAGGCGTGATGTCATGGCGAGGTGTGATGTTATGGCGAGTTGTGATGTCATGGCGAGTTGCGATGTCATAGCGAGGTGTGATGTCATGGTGTGGTGCAATGTCATAGCAAGTTGTGATGTCATAGCGAGATGTGATGTCGTAGCGAGGTGTGATGTCATGGCAAGGCGTGATGTCATGGCGAGGTGTGATGTCATAGCGAGGTGCGATGTCATAGCGACGTGCGATGTCATGGCGAGGTGCGATGTCATAGCGAGGTGTGATGTCATAGCGAGATGTGATATTATGGCAAGGCGTGATATCATGGCGAGGCGTGATGTCATGGCAAGGTGTGATGTCATGGTGAGGTGCGATGTCATAGCGAGGTGTGATGTCATAGCGAGGTGTGATGTCATGGCAAGGCGTGATGTCATGGCATGGCGTGATGTCATAGCGAGGCGCGATGTCATAGCGAAGTGCGATGTCATAGCGAGGTGTGATGTCATGGCAAGGCGTGATGTCATAGTGAGGCGCGATGTCATAGCGAGGCACGATGTCATGGCGAGTTGTGATGTCATAGCAAGTTGTGATGTCATGGAGAGTTGCGATGTCATGGCGAGGTGTGAATTCACGGCGAGGTGTGATGTCATGGCAAGGCGTGATGTCATAGCGAGGTGCGATGTCATAGCGAGGCGTGATGTCATGGCGAGGTGTGATGTTATGGCGAGTTGTGATGTCATGGCGAGTTGCGATGTCATAGCGAGGTGTGATGTCATGGTGTGGTGCAATGTCATAGCAAGTTGTGATGTCATAGCGAGATGTGATGTCGTAGCGAGGTGTGATGTCATGGCAAGGCGTGATGTCATGGCGAGGTGTGATGTCATAGCGAGGTGCGATGTCATAGCGACGTGCGATGTCATGGCGAGGTGCGATGTCATAGCGAGGTGTGATGTCATAGCGAGATGTGATATTATGGCAAGGCGTGATATCATGGCGAGGCGTGATGTCATGGCAAGGTGTGATGTCATGGTGAGGTGCGATGTCATAGCGAGGTGTGATGTCATAGCGAGGTGCGATGTCATAGCGAGGCGCGATGTCATAGCGAGGCGTGATGTCATGGCGAGGTGCGATGTCATAGCGAGGTGTGAGGTCACGGCGAGGCACGATGATGCAATGGCGAGGTGTGATGACGCCATCAGCATCACTGGCCGCGGTGACCTCTAGGACCTTGACCCCGAGGGCTCATCGTCAGCCCTCTCCGTCGACGCCGCTCCACGTCGCGCGGCCGTGCCCCCGGCGGTTATCGGTAATTCCCGGCCGACCTCGTATCCCCTTGCTGCTTGCTCATGAGGAGGTTGATGTACGAGGTCAGGAGGTCGTCCACCTTGTAGCCCTGCACACGGAGAGAGCCGCAACGCCACAGGTCCAGCGGCTGTCGAGGGGCACCAGGGCGAGCTGGCGGGTGCCGTGAGTGAGGTCGGCTATCCTGACCCGCTCAACCCGCAATGTCCGACAATGATCCCTTCCCCCCTGCCGTCCGTGCTGTCAACTCCGCCGCCCTTTTTCAGACTCAAGATTTTGACCATCTCGGCGAGCCGAGCAGCTCTCATGCACGGACGGCCACAGCTCACGGGCGTCGGCGGTGACGCGGACATCGCAGTTACACACGGAGTTACATAGAGACCCGTAGAGTCACACAGAGATCCATAGAGTTATATAAATACCCCTGGAGTTGATATGAGATCCGTAGAGTTACATAGATAGATATCTGTAGAGTTACACAGAGATCTATAGAGTTATATAAATACCCCTCGAGTTGATATGAGATCCGTAGAGTTACATAGAGATCCATAGAGTTACACAGAGATCCATAGAGTTACATAGAAATCCATAGAGTTACACAGAGATCCATAGAGTGATATAAATACCCCTGGAGTTGATATGAGATCCACTAGAGTTACATAGATGGATATCTGTAGAGTTACACAGAGATCCATAGAGTTACACAGAGATCTGTAGAGTTACATAGAGACCCATATAGTTACATAGAGATCCATAGAGTTACATAGAGACCACTATAGTTACATAGAGATCCATAGAGTTACACAGAGATCCGTAGAGTTACATAGAGACTCATAGACTTACACAGAGAGCCATAGAGTTACACAGAGATCCATAGAGTTACATAGAGATCCATAGAGTTACACAGAGATCCATAGAGTTACATAGAAATCCATAGAGTTACACAGAGATCCATAGAGTTATATAAATACCCCTAGAGTTGATATGAGATCCGTAGAGTTACATAGATGGATATCTGTAGAGTTACACAAAGATCCATAGAGTTACACAGATATCTGTAGAGTTACATAGAGACCCATATAGTTACATAGAGACCCATAGAGTTACATAGAGACCACTATAGTTACATAGAGATCCATAGAGTTACACAGAGATCCGTAGAGTTACATAGAGACTCATAGACTTACACAGAGAGCCATAGAGTTACACAGAGATCCATAGAGTTACACAGAGATCTGTAGAGTTACACATAGATCCATAGAGTTACACAGAGATCGATAGAGTTACATAGAGATCCATAGAGTTACACAGAGATCCATAGAGTAACACAGAGATCCATAGAGTTACATAGAGATCTGTAGAGTTATATAAATACCCCTGGAGTTGATATGAGATCCACTAAAGTGACATAGATGGATATCTGTAGAGTTACACAAAGATCCATAGAGTTACACAGAGATCTGTAGAGTTACATAGAGACCCATATAGTTACATAGAGACCCATAGAGTTACATAGAGACCACTATAGTTACATAGAGATCCATAGAGTTACACAGAGATCCGTAGAGTTACATAGAGACTCATAGACTTACACAGAGAGCCATAGAGTTACACAGAGATCCATAGAGTTACACAGAGATCTGTAGAGTTACACATAGATCCATAGAGTTACACAGAGATCGATAGAGTTACATAGAGATCCATAGAGTTACACAGAGATCCATAGAGTAACACAGAGATCCATAGAGTTACACAGAGATCTGTAGAGTTATATAAATACCCCTGGAGTTGATATGAGATCCACTAAAGTTACATAGATGGATATCTGTAGAGTTACACAAAGATCCATAGAGTTACACAGAGATCTGTAGAGTTACATAGAGACCCATAGAGTTACATAGAGATCCATAGAGTTACATAGAGACCACTATAGTTACATAGAGATCCATAGAGTTACACAGAGATCCGCAGAGTTACATAGAGACTCATAGAGTTACACAGAGAGCCATAGAGTTACACAGAGATCCATAGAGTTACACAGAGATCTGTAGAGTTACACATAGATACATAGAGTTACACAGAGATCCATAGAGTTACATAGAGATCCATAGAGTTATATAAATACCCCTAGAGTTGATATGAGATCCGTAGAGTTACATAGATGGATATCTGTAGAGTTACACAAAGATCCATAGAGTTACACAGAGATCTGTAGAGTTACATAGAGACCCATATAGTTACATAGAGACCCATAGAGTTACATAGAGACCACTATAGTTACATAGAGATCCATAGAGTTACACAGAGATCCGTAGAGTTACATAGAGACTCATAGACTTACACAGAGAGCCATAGAGTTACACAGAGATCCATAGAGTTACACAGAGATCTGTAGAGTTACACATAGATCCATAGAGTTACACAGAGATCGATAGAGTTACATAGAGATCCATAGAGTTACACAGAGATCCATAGAGTAACACAGAGATCCATAGAGTTACACAGAGATCTGTAGAGTTATATAAATACCCCTGGAGTTGATATGAGATCCACTAGAGTTACATAGATGGATATCTGTAGAGTTACACAAAGATCCATAGAGTTACACAGAGATCTGTAGAGTTACATAGAGACCCATAGAGTTACATAGAGATCCATAGAGTTACATAGAGACCACTATAGTTACATAGAGATCCATAGAGTTACACAGAGATCCGCAGAGTTACATAGAGGCTCATAGAGTTACACAGAGAGCCATAGAGTTACACAGAGATCCATAGAGTTACATAGAGATCCATAGAGTTACACAGAGATCCGTAGAGTTACATAGAGACTCATAGACTTACACAGAGAGCCATAGAGTTACACAGAGATCCATAGAGTTACACAGAGATCTGTAGAGTTACACATAGATCCATAGAGTTACACAGAGATCGATAGAGTTACATAGAGATCCATAGAGTTACACAGAGATCCATAGAGTAACACAGAGATCCATAGAGTTACACAGAGATCTGTAGAGTTATATAAATACCCCTGGAGTTGATATGAGATCCACTAGAGTTACATAGATGGATATCTGTAGAGTTACACAAAGATCCATAGAGTTACACAGAGATCTGTAGAGTTACATAGAGACCCATAGAGTTACATAGAGATCCATAGAGTTACATAGAGACCACTATAGTTACATAGAGATCCATAGAGTTACACAGAGATCCGCAGAGTTACATAGAGGCTCATAGAGTTACACAGAGAGCCATAGAGTTACACAGAGATCCATAGAGTTACACAGAGATCTGTAGAGTTACACATAGATACATAGAGTTACACAGAGATCCATAGAGTTACATAGAGATCCATAGAGTTACACAGAGATCCATAGAGTTACATAGAGATCCATAGAGTTACACAGAGATCCATAGAGTTGCACAGAGATCCATAGAGTTCCACAGAGATCCATAGAGTAACACAGATCCATAGAGTTGCACAGAGATCCATAGAGATACACAGATATCTGTAGAGTTACATAGAGATCCATAGAGTTACACAGAGATCCATAGAGTTACACAGAGATCTGTAGAGTTACATAGATATCCATAGAGTTACACAGAGATCCATAGAGTTACACAGAGAGCCATAGAGTTACACAGAGATCCATAGAGTTACATAGAAATCCATAGAGTTACACAGAGATCCATAGAGTTACACAGAGATCCATAGAGTTACACACAGAGCCATAGAGTTACACAGAGATCCATAGAGTTACACAGAGATCCATAGAGTTACACAGAGATCCATAGAGTTACACAGAAATCCATAGAGTTACATAGAGATCTGTAGAGTTACACAGAGATCTGTAGAGTTACACAGAGATCCGTAGAGTTACACAGAGATCCATAGAGTTACACAGAGATCCATAGAGTTACACAGAGAGCCATAGAGTTACACAGAGATCCATAGAGTTACACAGAGATCCATAGAGTTACACAGAGATGCCCCAGACGGAAGCCGTTATTATTTCAATTGGTCAAGGCCCCATTGAGCTAAGCAGTTGTCTTTTTTTACAAAGACGGCCACAGGACTGTCCCTTTCTGCCTCCCCCTCTGACTTTCTGAACACTTACATCTAGAGGGGTAGGGGCTATACGGCGCTCTCTGTGTGTGTATGTGTGTGTCTGTATGTGTGTCTGTGTGTACGTCTTTCTCTCTCGCTGTCTGTGTGTGTGTGTTGTCTGTATGTGTGCGTGTCTGTATGTGTGTGTTTGTCTCTGTGCGTATATCTCTCTGGGTGTGTGTGTGTGTCTATGTGTGTCTCTGTGTGTGCGTCTGTGTGTGTGACTGCCACCACTCACCAGGAACGTCTCACACAGCAGCTTGGTACCGCTCACGGCGCTGCCGATGGTGATGTGGAAGTAGGTGCTCCCGCTGCTCCAGTTGAAGATCTTGGTGAAGCTGTGCTGAGCTAGCACGTCCTGCCAAGGGAGGGAGGGTCTGCGTTTCACTTGTGCTCTGCGTGTTTGACTGGGTGAGAACTCAGCTGAAAACGATCAAACACTACTTTTATTTTACCCTGGTGAGGCCGGATGAGCTACAGAGCTCTTTTTAAGACGCGACCTGGTCGCAAATGATAACCCGACGAAGTGGCTTATCGTCACGTGGACATTTATTGCAGCCACATACTCTGAACGCATTTTGATTCTAAAATGTGACGGTGAAAAACTGGAGGGCCCGGGCAAAAATCCACGCGACCACGGGGAGAGAGACGTGCAAACTGCAAATATACAGCAGGAGGCGTCAGGGTTGGAATCGAACCCACGACCTCCTGTATACCAGGCGAGGTAGTTAACGTCTCGCCACGACCAGAACATAACCGAAGAGTCTCATTTGCCAGAGTGACCCAGGTCACCACAAATTCCAAAATTAAAAGCACGTGCCGGCCTTCACAGGTGCTCGCTAACAGCACCTGCCCCAACAGTCTGCTTAGGCTATATGGGGGATCTTTGTGTTTTTGTGTGAGTGTGTGTGTGGGTGTTGCATCACGCCACATCGCTGGCTCATGAAATATTGTATTTATTCACGTTTATTATTACCGTAATAATAATAATCATTAAAAAAAAATGTCTCCCCTTGTTATTGTCGTGTTTTGCCGACCACCTCGCGCTAACCGGCAGAGCGAGCGACCGCTCACGAGCGCGACATCCCCGCGTAGCGGCTAGCGAGACAATCACACACACTCGCCTTGGTCTTGGGGTTGATGAGGCTCAGCCCGTGCTTGTTGATGGCGATCCGCAGGATGTCGGGGTAGGTGGGCTCGGAGATTTGCTGCAAACGGACAACGACACACGGCCGGTCGACCGCGGCACCGACCGGGCCGGCCGAGCGGACACGAACCGGTCGAACCCCTGCCGGGACGAGCGCCGCCGCCATCCCGCCGCGTCGACTTGTTTACACATCGCACCAGGTACTCATTTGTGGCCAAGCCGACCCAGGGGAGGCCCGCGACCCGGTTCGTGAAATCGTCACCGGGTCCCCGGGTTCGTAGCGTAAGCGCGCGAACCGCTGCAACGGCGCTCCCCGCACGCGCGCCTCGTTGACGGGAGCGCTGTTGAGTCCTTAATCATTTATTCGTTCCGGAGGAATCCGATGAGCTATGAGGCTCTTTTTTTTTTTTCCTCCTTTCACAGATGTGCAGACCGAGGCCAGCCCTCACCTTGACGTCAAAGAAGGTCGTTCCGAACGTAGGCCACCTGCTGATGATCTTGAGGAACGCCAGCTTGGCTTCATCGTGCGTCTTGCCGGCGTTCTTGCCGATGGCTGCGACGATCAACTAGCGAAGGGGTGGGGGGGGGGGGGAGGAAATCATTAATTGGTGCGCCATCGCCGCCGCGGTCCATTCATCGGGCGAGCGGGCGCACGGGGAAGGAGCGATCCCATTGGTCAGTGCGAGGCAGAGACAGACGACAGGAGGCACGGCAAAAGCTGAGACGCAGCCCGAAGAGGTGAGACACAGACTGGGGGATACAACGCAGACGAAGTGGGATGGACGAGGTAGGTTAAGAGGAGGGGTGAGTTTGCACGTACATGTGTATGTTGAACTTATTTCGCACCGTGCGTAGCCAACCGTGCTCATCGGAGGTGCGTGGTAAGGACGACACATTATGGGTCTCTGTGTAAATCTGTGGGTCTTTGCGTGAGTCTATAATTCTATGGGTCTCTGTGTGAGTCTATGGGTCTCCGTGCAAGTCTATGGATCTCGGTGTGAGTCTATGGGTCTTTGTGTGAGTCTATGGGTCTCTATGTGAGTCTATGGGTCTCTGTGTGAGTCTTTGAGTCTGTGGGTCTCTGCGTGAGTCTATGAGTCTATAGGTCTCTGTGTGAGTCTATGGGTCTCCGTGCGAGTCTATGGATCTCTATGTGAGTCTATGGGTCTCTGTGTGAGTCTTTGAATCAAGTGGGTCTCTGCGTGAGTCTATGAGTCTATAGGTCTCTGTGTGAGTCTATGGATCTCTGTGTGAGTCTATGGGTCTCTGTGTGAGTCTATGGGTCTCTGTGTGAGTCTTTGAGTCTGTGGGTCTCTGCGTGAGTCTATGAGTCTATAGGTCTCTGTGTGAGTCTATGGGTCTCCGTGCGAGTCTATGGATCTCTGTGTGAGTCTATGGGTCTCTGTGTGAGTCTATGGGTCTCTGTGTGAGTCTTTGAGTCTGTGGGTCTCTGCGTGAGTCTATGAGTCTATAGGTATCTGTGTGAGTCTATGGGTCTCTGCGTGAGTCTATGGGTCTCTGCCTGCGTCTATGGGTCTCTGTGTGAGTCTATGGGTCTCTGTGTGAGTCTATGGGTCTCTGCGTGAGTCTATGGGTCTCTGCGTAAGTTTATGGGTCTCTGTGAGTCTATGGGTCTCTGCGTCCGTCTGTGGGTCTCTGTGTGAGTCTATGGGTCTCTCTGCGAGTCTATGGGTCTCTGCGTGAGTCTATGAGTCTCTGTGTACATGACGAGATGTTAACTACCTCGCCTGGTATGCAGGAGGTCGGGGCTTCCATCCCGACCCTGACGCCTGCTGCTGTATATTTGGAGTTTGCGGTGTCTCTCACTCCGTGGTGAGATGTTAACTACCTCGCCTGGTATGCAGGAGGTCGGGGCTTCCATCCCGACCCTGACGCCCTGCTGCTGTACATTTGGAGTTTCCAAGCTCTCCCCATGGTCGCGCGGATCTTTGTTCTCCGGGCCCTCCGGTTTTTCCGTCAATATTTAGAAAGACGCGTTTAGATGATTTAATAATTTTGGTGCTTTAAATATCCAAATGATGGGCCACTTGGTTGAGCTATCATTTGTGGCCAGGCCGCTTCTGAAATATAGTGGGCTTTGCCTGGTGGGATGGAGATGGTTTTAGTGTTGTATTTGTTTGTGTTTTTCTTGTACTTTGCACTCCTATCGTGCTTTTGTACCGTTCGTCGTTGTAACGTTCTGAACCCCGTGCCCCCTTACCGGACATCTGTGAAAAAAGAGCTTTACAGCTCATCGGATTCCTCCTCCAGCATGAATACAGTATTCTGACTCGATGTACGCAGCACGTACGTCCAACTTCTTATTTCCACCGTCGCTAATCGTCGTCGCGGGGCTGCCGGGGGGGGGGGGGGGGGGGGGGTGGGGGGGGGGGCGTCGAGCGACGAGGGGGGCCGTCACCTTCTTCCACGCGTCGGCGGAGGCGTCGGGCAGGAGGTCGTGGGGCAGCAGCTCTTTGAGGCCGCGCCCGACGCCGGAGATGGGCGCGCGGTCATCGCCGTGGCGGGCACGGAACACCAGCGCCGCCAACTGCACTGCGTCTTCGCGCGACACCTTGTGGAAGCCGCGCAGGAACTTGGGCAGCTCCTGCGTTGGTGGCGGTGGTGGGGACAGTCGTGGGGAAGACAGTGATGGCGACGGGAGCGAGGATGACGACGATGATGATGATGATGTTGAGGATGACCGCAATTTTTGACGGCGGCGATAGTCATGAAGGTGATGATGATGATGGCGGCGGCGATGGTGACGACGTTGGTGATGAAGATGACGATGGTGGTGACGGAGATGATGGTTGTGGACGTGTGGCTAGTGACACACGGACAGGTGTGGCTACTGACAACAACAACAACCGCCATTCGTCACAAAGTGGCGGTGACGTCACCACGACGCTTGTGCCAGGCTATGTGCACCTTGAGGCCACGTGAAGTGTCGAACGCCCTCTGGCAGGAGGCCACGGGGCAGACCCAGGTGCCACGGGTCGACTGACTGAGATGACTGGCTGATGCACCACCTGTGCCCCCTACTGTGCCAACCCGCTGTGCTTTAGCCACCCGGCGCTCCGCTCGTTGTTGTGAGCGTCGCTCCTCCCCCCTCCATTGTTGTTGGAGAGCGACTGCCTCCAACTGCCCAGTAGCGTCCTTCACGAGCCTCCTCCACAGAGGCCGATCTTGACACTGCTGGTACCTGTTATCAGCAAGTCCACATCCTCCTATACCACATCACTCCATCTCTTCTCTAGCCCGTGCTGCACCCGTTTAGCCCCCTCGATCCCACCGAACAAAAGCTGTTTAGGCATGCGTTGGCTGGGCATACGGGCTACATGACCCAGCCAACGCAGCCTTGCCTGCCGTAGGAGCTCACCAATGGGACTTTGTCCAGATCTTTCAATGATTTGTGAGCCCCTCACACAATCCAGCCTGATTAAACCCAGGATGGATCGTAGGCAGGCCAGCCTAAATGTTTCTAACCGGCGAAGATGTTTCATTAGGGGGGTCCACGTTTTGCAAGCGTAGAGAAGGGAGGGGATGACCGTGGCCGAGAAGACCTGAAGCTTAGTGCGGAGCGACAGACCAGGTAGCTTCCACACAGCGTTACGCAACCGATTAAAAGATAATGCCGCTCGACTGATTCGGAGTGAGACCTCTGCTGTTAAACTGGAGCCGGTCATGAGCACCCTGCCCAGGTATGGGAACCTCTCCACAACTGCCCCATCACCAATTGCGAGTTGTGGGGGTGGAGTGTCCAATGGTTTAAAATACCCAGGCAGGTGCTTAGTTTTGGTGGGGCTGATGGTAAGGCCCCACCTCTTCGTGGCAAGCTCCAGGTTCAGCAGCAGCGCCTCTGAGTGTAGCTGCTCACTCAAAGGCTACTGACACACACACACGCACGCGTGGCTAGTGACACACACACGCGCATGTGTGGTTACTGACATACATGCGCGTGAGTGTGGCTACTGACACGCACGCACGCGTGTGTGGCTACTGAGACACAAATACACGTGTGGCTAGTGACACACAAATACACGTGTGGCTAGTGACACACACTCATACACACTTATGTGGCTAGTGACACACACTTACGCGCGTGTGGCTAGTGACACACATACACACGAATGTGGCTAGTGACACACACACACACACGCATGCGTATGTAGCTAGTGACACACACACACACACTCGCGCGTGTGACTAGGAGTGGCATCACGCGGCATCACCTGCGGGTAGTGGAACATGTTGTCCGCGGTTGGGTCCTTCCCCGGGATCACGTTGACCCAAAGCTTGCGCAGGAAGTGCACCTGATACTCCGGCATGGGGGCGGCTGCCTGGCCTAGCGTCGCACGGACACGGAGAGAGAGAGGGGGGGGGCACAGTGGGGGGGGGGGGGGGCAGCCAGCGTCAAGGCCCCACGTGCCGGGGTGGCCACCGCGTCACCGTCCGTCCGTCCTTCTTGCTGCGCTGCGCTGCATGGGGCGCCTGCAGGGGGTTCGTTTGTGGCTTTGGCACTTTGGCAGCGGTGAGCGCGTTCGAGGAAATGTTGAGTGGAGAAAAAAAAACATAAACGCACATCACGTGGTGATGCTGCTGATGTTGCTGCTGCTGAAGGTGATGCTACTTCTGATGATGATGCTGTTGATGATGCTGCTGCTGATGATGCTATTTCTGATGCCGATGCTACTTCTGATGCTGCTGTTGCTGCTGCTGAAGATGATGCTGATGCTGCTGATCATGATGCTAATTCTAATGATGATGTTGTTGCTGCTGCTGATGCTGCTGATGAAAATGCTAATGCTACTGTTGTTGTTGATGGTGTTGATGATGATGCTGCTGCTGCTGTTAATGATAAACCAATGATCATATTGGCTTTCGGGTTAGGTTATACGGTAGTTTTACGTATAAAGTCTTGTCATCACCACGTGACAGAATAATGATCACTTTTACAGAATTTACGTTATCTTAATTTGTATTTATGGAGTGCCTTGTTAAAGGTGTGTAACCAGTGCCGGATGATCCTCGTAGCAAACGTAGCTACATATATGTAGTAGCTACACATGTAATAGCTACTACACATGTAGTAGCTACTACACGTGTAGTAGCTACGGGCCCTGCACTTTCAAGGGCCCCGCGCTAAATGCTTTTAAGCTATCAATTCCGGCTCAGTGATTCTGCACTTGTTCTATTGCTATAGTACTATACCGCCTTCAACTTTTATGAATGACTGGGTGTTTAAGGTTAGCGATTTGTCGTATAGCAAATGAAACAATACAATTACTTTACGATGCAAGTTAAACATTTGTGGTTTTAATATTTACGTGTTTTTTTTTTATTTAGGGCCCCTTTATAACATCATATGCTACAGGCCCCGCACCTAGCTTAATCCGGCACTGCGTGTAACATAATCTTAAAATGGTATAAGCAAGAATGATTCTGATGGCAGGGGCGTGTGAGCGATGAGGAATGAATGACAGCGATAGAGGGATACTTAGTGTGGTCACTGAGGGGTTATTGGGGAGGGACGGGAAGGGGTGGAGGGGCGAGGAAGGGAATGGGCGATGGAGAAGAAGTGAGGCCTGAAGAGAGGAAAGGTGAAGGAGAGGGACTGCTTCATGTAGAGGGGCAGTGCTGAGTCTATGGGCAGTGTTGAGTCTATTGGCAGTGTTGAGTCTGTGGGCAACGCTGAGTCTATGGGTGGCAGTGTTGAGTCTATGGGCAGTGTAGAGTCTATGGTGCAGTGTTGAGTCTATGGGCAGTGTTGAGTCTATTGGCAGGGTTGAGTCTATGGGCAATGCTGAGTCTATGGGCAGTGTTGAGTCTATGGGCAGTGTTGAGTCTATGTGCAGTGTTGAGTCTATGGTGCAGTGTTGGGTCTATGAGCAGTGTTGAGTCTATGGGCAGTGCTGAGTCTATGGTGCAGTGTTGGGTCTATGAGCAGTGTTGAGTCTATGGGCAGTGTTGAGTCTATGTTGCAGTGTTGGGTCTATGAGCAGTGCTGCTCAATGTACGGTACAAGTTGATTCCGTTGTAGGGTTGCAAGGAGGGACAACACGACAGCGCCGCCGACGCCTCTCGCTGATCTCCGAGCCGGCACGCGGAACCTTCCCCCGCCAGCTCTCGTTACCTTCCCGTGCCACCCTCCCGCTGTTGCTCCACTCCTCCATTTGCCTGGCGAAGTCAAAGAAGTAGTCTCCGTCTGGCATGCTCACCACCTGCATCGACCGCAGCACACGCCGCCACCGCGCGTCACCGCGTGCACCGCAACCGCCGTTGCTACCCCGCCGTCAACCGCACAGCACCGCACAGCACCGCACAGCACCGCGCAGCACCACCACAAACCGCAGATTTCTACCACGCGTCACCGCACGGTGCCATACACCACGGCACCGTACTGCGCCGCACAGCGGCCACGCCGCTCCAGCTGCAGGCCGTCGTGCCGGTTAACTCGCGGCACGTGGACGTTCGTGACCGATGCCCCGATGCAGTCATCGACAATTTGGGGCGCGAGTGAAAATGTGTGTTGGGAGTCCCTCCCTCCCTCCCCAGCCTCCCTCCCTCCCTCCCCTCCCTCCCCAGCCTCCCTCCCTCCCCAGCCTCTCTCCCTCCCTCCCTCCCTCCCCAGCCTCCCTCCCTCCCCTCCCTCCCCAGCCTCCCTCCCTCCCCAGCCTCCCTCCCTCCCCAGCCTCTCTCCCTCCCTCCCTCCCTCCCCAGCCTCCCTCCCTCCCCTCCCTCCCCAGCCTCCCTCCCTCCCCTCCCTCCCCAGCCTCCCTCCCTCCCCAGCCTCCCTCCCTCCCCAGCCTCCCTCCCTCCCCAACCTCCCTCCCTCCCCAGCCTCCCTCCATCCCCAGCCTCCCTCCCCAGCCTCCCTCCCCAGCCTCCCTCCCTCCCTCCCCAGCCTCTCTCCCTCCCTCCCCAGCCTCCCTCCCTCCCTCCCCAGCCTCTCTCCCTCCCTCCCCAGCCTCCCTCCCTCCCCAGCCTCTCTCCCTCCCTCCCCAGCCTCCCTCCCTCCCCAGCCTCCCTCCCTCCCCACCTTGTCCATGATCTTGATGAAGAGGCTGAACCCCTCCTGGGACTTGAGCTGCAGCTTCTTGGTGATGGCCTGGCAGAGCGCGCGCACTCGCGTGCCCGCGTCCACCTCGAACGCCTGCACGGCCGCGTCGGGGACAGGGAGACCAGGGGAGAGACACGGAGAGAGAGGGGGTAGAGAGAGACAGAGAGCGAGGGAAGGGGTAAGAAGGAGGAGAGCAGAGCGTGAAATCTTTCGTGAAATCTTTCGTTTAAAAGGAGGGGGGGGGGAGGGGGGCACATAAAGCAAAGCATTGTAAAAAAAACTAAAAAAAAACCCGAAATGATGAACGAAGCAAAGTGCCGACTACACCGAGCACCTTCTTGTTTCCTCTGATCGTAAATAAATAAATAAAAGAGCAAGACGCCGCGAGGGGCAATGCCGTGAGGTGGTGATGGCGAGGGCGGTCGTCGCTACCGTACGCTGCGAAGCAAGGCCCCCCCCCCCCCCCCCCCCCCCGAGTTCGATTCCCGTTCACGTGCCAACGTCGATGACGCCTGGTACGGTGGCCCGGTCCTCGGCTGCCCCCCCCCCCCCACCTCCTGCCCTGCCTAGGTTGACCCAGTCTTAAAATGAGCAAACCTCGTGGTACGGTGTACACATCGGCACTCGGGAGACAAAGGTGGCCGGGCGTGGCGCTGGCCACTGTGCCACGGGAGCCCTTCGCAGGTGCTCGCTGAAGAGCACTTGGCCCAACAGCCCGCTAAAGACTACATGGGCGAGCTTTGTCTTTGGTGGTGGAGGCAATGATGACAGATACTGAGCAACATTGGGTGCTGGAGAGGATGATGTTGATGATGGTGATGAGAGTGATGATGTTGATGGTGATAACGATGGTGAAGAGTGATGTTGTTTATAGATGATGATGATGATGTTGAGAATGATGGTTCATGAGATTGGTAATGGTGATGATGCTGATAATGGTGATGAGTGATGTTGTTTATAGATGATGATGATGTTGAGAATGATGGTTGATGAGATTGGTAATGGTGATGATGCTGATAATGGTGATGAGAGTGATGGTGTTGATGATTATGATGCTGATAATGATGGTGATGAGAGTGATGGTGTTGATGATGATGGTAACAATGGTGATGAGTGATGTTGTTGATAGATGATGATGATGATGCTGAGAATGATGGTTGATGAGATTGGTAATGGTGATGATGCTGATAATGGTGATGAGAGTAATGGTGTTGATGATGATGATGGTAACAATGGTGATGAGTGATGTTGTTGATAGGTGATGATGATGATGCTGAGAATGATGGTGATGAGCTTGGTAATGGTGATGATGCTGATAATGGTGATGAGAATGATGGTGTTGATGATGATGATGATACTGATAATGATGGTGATGAGAGTGATGGTGTTGATGATGATGGTAACAATGGTGATGAGTGATGTTGTTGATAGGTGATGATGATGTTGAGAATGATGGGTTTATAAAATTGGTAATGGTGATGATGCTGTTAATGGTGATGAGAGTAATGGTGTTGATGATGATGATACTGATAATAATGGTGATGATGATGATGGTGACGATGATGCTGATAACAATGGTGATGAGAGTGCTGATATTGATGACGATGACGATGACGACGATGGTGGTGTAGTTTGCGAGCACCTGTTCCGACTGGTCGGGGAAGGAGACGGGATGGTGCAGCTTGCGCGACTTGTGCTGTGCTGCCTTCACCTCGCGCAGGTGCGGCGGGTACCTGCGCACGGGAAACCTGCCCCCCACACAGGTGAACACAGGTGAACACACACAGGTGAACACGAGCCCGCACACAGGTGAACACATACCGGTGAACACGAGCTCCCACACAGGTGAACATGTGAACACAGGTGAGCATGAGTTCCCACACAGGTGAACACGAGCCCTCACACAGGTGAGCATGAGCCCGCACACAGGTGAACACAAACCGGTGAACACGAGCTCCCACACAGGTGAACACGAGCATGAACACAAGTGAACACGAGCCCCGGTGGGTGAGAATCTGAGTCGGCATTCCCTTGTGCCCCGATGACCACTTCCACAGCACACCGGGGCATGTGTGTGCAGGTGTGTGTGTGTGTGTGCAGGTGTGTGTGTGTGTGTGTGCAGGTGTGTGTGTGTGTGCAGGTGTGTGTGTGTGCAGGTGTGTGTGCAGGTGTGACTGTGTGCAGGTGTGTGTGTGTGCTCTCGCTAACAGCACTTGCCCCTACAGTCTGTTAAGGCTATATGGGGGATCTTTGTCTTTTATCTGTGTATGTGTGCAGGTGTGTGTGTGTGCAGGTGTGTGCGTAGGTGTGTGTGTGTGTGCAGGTGTGTGTGCAGGTGTGTGTGTGCAGGTGTGGGTGTGTGTGTAAGTGTGTGCGTAGGTGTGTGTGTGCAGGTGTGTGTGTTTGAAGGTGTGTGTGTGTGCAGGTGTGTGCGTAGGTGTGTGTGCAGGTGTGTGTGCAGGTGTGTGTGTGTGCAGGTGTGTGCGTAGGTGTGTGTGCAGGTGTGTGTGCAGGTGTTTGTGTGTGCAGGTGTGTGTGTGTGCTCGCTAACAGCACTTGCCCCTACAGTCTGTTAAGGCTATATGGGGGATCTTTGTCTTTTATCTTTGTGTGTGTGCAGGTGTGTGTGTGTGTGCAGGTGTGTGTGTGTGCAGGTGTGTGGGTAGGTGTGTGTGCAGGTGTGTGTGCAGATGTTTGTGTGTGCAGGTGTGTGTGTGCTCGCTAACAGCACTTGCCCCTACAGTCTGTTAAGGCTATATGGGGGATCTTTGTATTTTATCTTTGTGTGTGTGCAGGTGTGTGTGTGCAGGTGTGTGCAGGCGTGTGCGTAGGTGTGTGTGCAGGTGTGTGTGCAGGTGTATGTGTGTGCAGGTGTGTGTGTGCATGTGTTTGTGCAGGTGTGTGTGCAGGTGTGTGTGTGTGCAGGTGTGTGCGTAGGTATGTGTGCAAGCGTGGGTGTGTGTGCAGGTGTGTGTGTGTGCAGGTGTGTGCGTAGGTGTGCGTATGTGTATGTGCAGGTGTGTGCGTAGGTGTGTGTGTGTGTAGGTGTGTGCGTAGGTGTGTGTGTGTGTAGGTGTGTGTGTAGGTGTGTGTGCAGGTGTGTGTGCAGGTGTGTGTGCAGGTGTGTGCGTAGGTGTGCGTAGGTGTGTGTGTGGGTGCAGGTGTGTGCGTAGGTGTGCGTGTGTGAGTAGGTGTGTGCGTAGGTGTGTGTGTGCGTAGGTGTGTGTGTGTAGGTGTGTGCGTTGGTGTGTGTGTGCAGGTGTGTGCGTAGGTGTGTGTGTGTGTGCAGGTGTGTGCGTAGGTGTGTGTGTGTGTAGGTGTGTGTGTGCGTAGGTGTGTGTGTGTAGGTGTGTGCGTAGGTGTGTGTGTGTGTGCAAGTGTGTGCGTAGGTGTGTGTAGGTGTGTGCGTAGGTGTGTGTAGGTGTGTGCGTAGGTGTGTGTGTGCGTGCAGGTGTGTGCAGGTGTGTGTGTGTAGGTGTGTGTGTGTAGGTGTGTGTGCGTAGGTGTGTGTGTGTAGGTGTGTGCGTAGGTGTGTGTGTGTGTGTGCAGGTATGTGCGTAGGTGTGTGCAGGTGTGTGCAGGTGTATGCGTAAGTGTGTGTGTGTAGGTGTGTGTGTGTAGGTGTGTGTGTAGGTGTGTGCGTAGGTGTGTGTGTGTGTGCAAGTGTGTGCGTAGGTGTGTGTAGGTGTGTGCGTAGGTGTGTGTAGGTGTGTGCGTAGGTGTGTGCGCGTGCAGGTGTGTGCAGGTGTGTGTGTGTAGGTGTGTGTGTGTAGGTGTGTGTGCGTAGGTGTGTGTGTGTAGGTGTGTGCGTAGGTGTGTGTGTGTGTGCAGGTATGTGCGTAGGTGTGTGCAGGTGTGTGCAGGTGTATGCGTAAGTGTGTGTGTAGGTGTGTGTGTGTAGGTGTGTGTCTGTAGGTGTGTGCGTAGGTGTGCGTAGGTGTGTGTGTGGGTGCAGGTGTGTGCGTAGGTGTGCGTGTGTGTGTAGGTGTGTGCGTAGGTGTGTGTGTGCGTAAGTGTGTGTGTGCAGGTGTGTGCGTAGGTGTGTGTGTGTAGGTGTGTATGTGTGCGTAGGTGTGTGTGTGTAGGTGTGTGCGTAGGTGTGTGTAGGTGTGCAGGTGTGTGCGTAGGTGTGTGTAGGTGTGTGCGTAGGTGTGTGTGTGCAGGTGTGTGCGTAGGTGTGTGTAGGTGTGTGTGTAGGTGTGTGTGTAGGTGTGTGTGTGCGTGCATGTGTGTGCAGGTGTGTGTGTGTAGGTGTGTGTGTGTAGGTGTTTGTGCGTTGGTGTGTGTGTGTAGGTGTGTGCGTAGGTGTGTGTGTGTGTGTGCAGGTATGTGCGTAGGTGTGTGCAGGTGTATGCGTAAGTGTGTGTGTGTAGGTGTGTGTGTGTAGGTGTGTGTGTAGGTGTGTGCGTAGGTGTGTGTGTGTGTGCAGGTTTGTGCAGTGGGGAGCGGTGGTGTCGCGGTTAGCGCTACGCTGCGCTAGGAACCCGGCGATCTGAGTTCGATTCCCGCTCTCGGCTAACACCGGTGACGATTATCTGAACCGGTCCTGGGCCTCCCCTAGTTCGACTCAGCCTCAAATGAGTACCTGGTGCGGTGTGTAAACATCGCCACTAGGGAAACAAAGGCGGCCGGGCGTGGTGCTGGCCACCCACTCCCTCGTGTGCCGTGCCGGCCTTCATAGGTGCTCGCTAACAGCACTTGGGGGGCGTCCATAAATGACGTCACGCGATTTTGGACGATTTTTTACCCCCTCCCCTCGTCACACGGCATCACAACAAGTCAGACCCCCCCCCCTAAAATATGACGTCACAAAGCTCTGCCCCCCCCAAAAAATATATATAAAGTATGCTTCAAATCGCTTTAAACTATTGTCATTGTAGTGCGTATTTAATGTGGCGTTGCACTATGATGTTGTAGGAGAAACACATTTATAAAATAGTCTATTTAATTAAGTAGAACGTGTTGTCTATATTTATTTAAAGTTGCGAATTTTGATGTGACGTCACATTTCTCACCCCCCCCCCCTCCTCGTCACACATCGTCACAAATGTCTGACCCCCCCCCCCCTAGGTGCGTGACGTCATATATCGACGGCCCTTGCCCCAACAGTCTATTAAGGCTACACGGGGGATCTTTGTGTCTGCATGTGTGTGTGCGTGTGTGTGTGCGCGTATCTCTGCGTGTGTATCTGTGTGTGTGTATAGATGTGTGAGTGTGTATATACATGTGTGTGTGTATATGTGTGTGAGTATATATGTATATATATGAGTGTGTATATGTGAGTGTGTATATGTGAGTGTGTATATACATGAGTGTGTATATGTGAGTGTGTATATGTGAGTGTATATATATGAGTGTGTATATGTGTATGTGTGTGTGTGCCTGTCACCGACCCGCTGTTCTGCAGGCTGCGGTTGAGACGGGCGACGTGGGCCGTGCGCTGCCGCGACTGGAGGAATTCCTGGACGTGCGGAGCCAGCGCCGCTCCCGGCGGGAAGAGACCGAGGCACAACCACAGCAGCTCCCAGCCCTTCTCCTCGCTATACCTGGACACAACAAAGACGAAGATCCCCCGCGTAGCCTCAGCAGACTGTCGGAGCAAGTGCTGTTAGCGAGTGACAGCACATACGGAGGCCGAGCACGGCGCACGGAAGGGGTGGGTGGCCAGCGCCACGCCCGACCGCCTTTGTCTCCCCAGTGGCGATGTTTACACATTTGAGGCTGAGTCGACCTAGGAGAGGCCCAGGACCGGTTCAGATAATCGTCACTGTTGTTGGTGGCCATGAGCCGGAATCAAACTCGGGTTTGTGGTGCATCGCATTAACCACTGCACCACCGCTTCCCACACACATACAAAGATCTCCCATATAGCCTGCAACACACTTTTAGGGCAAGTGCTGTTAGCAAGTAGCACCTATGAAGGCCGGCACGGCACACAAAGGGGTGGGTGGCCAACACCACGCCCGGTCGCCTTTGTCTCCGCAGTGGCGATGTTTACACACACCCCCCTGTGCCACCGCTCCCCACACACACATAGCCAGATCAGCTACCAGTCCTTCCCTTCACTATACCTGTACGCGCACACACACACACACACGGGAGTACAGCGGTAAGGAGATGGAGGAAGGGGAGGCTGCGTCAGGGACTCGACACTGCTGCTGCTGCACGGAGGAGCAGGAGCGGCGTCCGTTTTCACAGTGGGCGGGGAGATGGGAGGCGACTCAGAGAGGGCGTGGCCACACTCAGAAGTCACGTGGTTTACTGGAGGCTCGTGCTGATTTAGAGATATAGAGGTATGGAGATCTGCAGATGAGAGAAGGAGAGACTCAGAGTGGGGGTGGCCACCCACAGAAGTTGCGTGGTTTACTAGAGTCTTCAAGCCGATTTTAAGAACACAGACGGAACGGCTCGGGAAAGCGTACACGACAGAACTACTTCCGGAGGTCACATATTTCCAAGGCACCGCTCCCCGCCTCTCCCCGCCGCCACCCGCGCCCGGCACCGGCAAGAGGAGCAAAGCGGCAGAAAAGTTCGCCGGCTCACCCCTGTCTGTTGTCGGTGAGCTGCTTGAGGATCTGGCAGTAGAGCTCGTCCTGCAGGCAGGCGTTCTTCAGCGCCGGCCTGAACACCTGGTCGGTGAGGTCGGTGCCCGGGTCGGAGGTCGCCTGCCGCATCGGGAAGTCCCCCATGTACTTGAGGATGGGTGCAGGGGGACGGGGGGGAGGCCACGGGGGGGTCGGAGGTCAAGGCGTTCAGACGGACTGTGGGGCACGATCACTCGGACGACGACGATGATGACGACGATGCTCACGACGGGACAAAGACATCCATTGTAATCTACACGAATTAATAAACCACCACCCTGCGGTCTTCACACCTGATTGGCTCACAAGTGACGACATCACATTTGCCCTCCTCTATTTGAGACCGAAACAGTGAGGAGGATTTCTCCACAGCTCTGGCTGTCGCCTGATGATGCCGCCGGTTGCAATTACCGGCGAAACGTCGCGGCCCTTCGGATTGTAAACGTCGCTGTGGGTTAGCTCTCCAACACACACGACCGGTTAGTGTCGAACTAGCAACTTAATTGGAACGTTTTGTTTACGCGACAAACCTTTACTTAGTTGGCCGTGTCGGGTGGTGGTGGTGGTGGCGGTGTCGGGTTTAACGACACGTTCATATTGACGCGAAGTAACCCCTAACTTAAAACAAAAGAAACAATCCGTCATGGACAGCAGGACGTTCAGCTCACGCTGGAGGAGTGCTCGTGGCGCCAGAGGTCGCGCGCGAGAGGTCGCGCGCGAGAGGTCGCGCGCGAGAGGTCGCACGCGAAAGGTCGCACGCGAAAGGTCGCACACGAAAGGTCGCACGCGAGAGGTCGCACGCGAAAGGTCGCGCGCGAGAGGTCGCACGCGAAAGGTCGCACGCGAAAGGTCGCACGCGAAAGGTCGCGCGCTGACCATGTGTGACGAGTGAACGAACGGACGGGTGGAGGGGCGACCACGTAGACATTTATATATACACGCCGCGCACGTGGATAATAATAATAAATAAATAATGACAGTATTATACAATATACAATTATATCTAATAATCATATTATAATATTATAATACTATATTTAGATAGTATCATATATTATTATACTACTTACATATTATAATATATAATAACACACACGTGTATATATATACATACACACACACGTGTGTGTATGTATATATATATACACAGGCGCCCAGGTCGGCAGTGGCGGCCTGGGTAAAACAAAAACAAAATTAACACACGGGTTAAAAGTTGCCGCGTGGTTGTATGGACCGAAAGCCGGCCGGGCGGCCTGGCCGCCCCTCTGACTGGGCGAGTATCTGCACGGCCGGCTGGGTGGTTGTCATGGGTTGGGTCGCGACGGGGGTGGTGGTTGCGCGTAGGGGGGGGGCCGAGTCTCCGCGGGGCCGAGGGATATCGATGAAGGCGTTGCACGCGTCCTTGGCCACGTGATCTCCGATGACGCTGAGCAGCAGCGGCTGCAGGAGGGGCTCCCGGGAGCAGGCCCAGAGGTGGTCCTTGCGGCGGCCACGCGCCTCCACCACCTGCTTCACGGCGCCCTGCGGCAGCGGCCTAGCGGTGACACGCGCGGTTGCCACGGTGACATGTTGTGGTTCCCACGGTGACACGCGCGGTTCCCACGGTGACACGTTGCGGTTCCCACGGTGACACATTGCGGTTCCCACGGTGACACGCGCGGTTCCCACGGTGACACGTTGTGGTTCCCACGGTGACACGCGCACGCGTTGGGGCAAGATGTTATCTACCTCGCCTGGTACGCAGGAGGTCGCGGGTTCGATCCCGACCTTGGCGACGCCTGCTGCTGCTGTATATTTGAAGTTCTCTCTCTCCCCGCGGTCGCGTGGATTTTTTCTCTGGGTCCTCCGGTTTTTGCCCCCCACGTTTAGAATCAACGTCGAATTCAGAGTGTTTAGCTGCTATACATTTCCACGCGACGATAAGCCACTTCGTTGGGCTTTCATTTGTGGCCAGGTCGCTTCTGAAAATGAGCTACGTAGCTCAGTGGGCCTGACCTGGTTAAATAAAATTAGAAATAGTTTATAGTTGTTTTCATAGCTTATTTGTGGTTCCGGCGTCTATGTTCGGGTCCCGCTACCGGTGCCGCTGCATTGAAGCTTTATCGAAGGAACGCACCGTGAAAATCGATAGCAGGCCCTGGCCGACCGAGAAAAGTGACATTCTAACCCACTCGCACGCACTGTGGGCGACAGGGATTGTGGGTAACGGTGCAAGGGGCACTGTGGGTGACTGCGGTGCCGCACCTGAAGTGGTCCTGCGCGAACTGCTCAAGGGTGTAGAGGGCGTTGCGATCCTCCGGCTGCTGGGATACTGTCGAGCCTCGACGCTGACCCTCGGGGTTTGCTGCAAAAAGGCTCTGGAGGACGCGCGGAGAGGGGGGAAACCTCCGATTAGCGTACGGTTGGCCACGCGCGGTGTGAAATAAGTACAACGGACATCATCATCATCATCCCGCACCTCCGATTAGCGTACGGTTGGATACACACGGTGTGAAAGAAGTTCGATGTACATACGTACAAGCGAAACAGTGGATAATTTATCGCAGCTCGCTCACACACTCACTCACCCACTCACTAACTCACCCACTCACTAACTCACTCGCCTAATCGCTCACTCACTCACCCATGAACACACTCACTTGTCCGATTGCTCACTAACACAACAGTCTGTGTGTCTCCGTGTTTTGTCTCTCTCTCTCAAATGTAGCAATCTTTGGAAGAACGTAATCAACCAGGTTGGGTGTTGACTTGTGTTAGCCGACTCTCTGTGCTGTATCACATTATGTTTGTTTTCTCATTCATTCACACCTGATGATGGTTGCTTGTGTTGCAATCGAAACGTCGTATTCTATTATTATTGAATTTATTTTCTATCTACGTGACTTTACCGAAAGAACCAGGGGTTAATTCCTGCAGCCACCAAAGCTTCGAGTCTGGTCCTGCTGGGTTCAGTATATCGAGCACGGGGCAGCACGTAGACGCTGCCCGACAGGAGCTCGCCCGTGACCCCCGTGACCTCCTGCGGTCGTGGCCGCGATGACGGCGCGACCCGAGCGGACCGAAACCCTCCACCGCCTCGTGCCTCTCCGCGTACCAGGATGGCCTTGCTGGGTTTCTCGAGCACGGGCAGCACGTAGACGCTGTCCGACAGGAACTCGCCCTTGAGCCCCGTGCGGTCGTTGCGGCCCTGCGTCCAGCTCGCCTGGGGCAGCGCCTCGCCCGCTGTCTTGTCGCCCTCCAGCACGATGAGGTCGCCCCTGTGGCACGCGAGCACGCCCGCGCCCCCGTCTACGGGCGGGTCGGGGTCGGAGGTTAAAGGTTAGAGGTGAACCGCGGAGGTCGGGGCGACGCGGAGATCCATTTCTTTTAAACTGCTTGTCGTGTTTAGTTTGTTTGACCTTCCCCCCGCACCTCCGATTAACAGGATTGGCTACGAACGGCGTGAAATAGGTTCAGCATACATAAATCCTGGGTTCGTATCCAGGTATCCGCCGCCTGTGATGACGCAGGCTTCTCGAGTGTAGTAGTAGGGGGTGAGTTTCAGTTTC